CCAGTTCATCTACCAGCTGGTGTCGACACTGGGCGTGCATATCAGCAAGAAGGTGTGGATGATCATTGTGTCGCTGGTTATTTGGGTGCCCGTTGCTCTGCTGAAGGAGATGTCCGAGGCTGCCATCCTTGCCATCTTTGGACTCATTGCTTCAATCGTTGTGATCCTCGTCGCCACCATCCAGTCGTTCCGCTTCCCCTACACAAAGATGCACCCCACGGAGCCCGAGCCCGGTCACGACGTAGCCATCGGCGTTGGCGTCCCCATTGCCCTGTCATCCATCGTCTTCTCCTTTGCCGGCTCCGTCGTCTACCCACACGTCGAGGCGTCGATGAAGAAGCCCAAGCAATGGAAGATGGTCATGCTCGCCGCCATGGTCTTCTGCTCCGTCGCCTACCTCACTATCGGCATCTCTGGGTACTGGGCTTACGGCGACAAGGTGGTTTCACCCGTCCTGGACTCGATCCCCACGGGCGCGCCTGCCACGGTTGCCAAGATCATGATCACGCTCCACGTCATCATCGCCGCGCCCATCATGCTTCTGAGCTTTTACCTTGAGGTTGAGAACCAGTGGAATATCACCGCTGAGCACATGGGCAAGAAGAAGGAATTCGTGGTTCGCCTGGTGTACCGGTCCATTGTCGTTGCCATCGTTTGCGGCATCTCCCTGGCCATCCCCTATTTTTCGGACTTTCTCAGTCTCATCAGCTCAATCGCCTGCGTTACTATGTACGCCATCATTCCTGTCGTCTGCTACTTGAAGCTCTTTGGCCTGCGGTCAGTCAGCTGGTACGAGATGATCTGGATGGCCATTGTTCTGGCTATTGGCATGGTTGCCTGTATCTGGGGAAGCATCGATGCGATCAAGGCCCTCATCAAGGACACCCAGGGCTAAAAGCTCTCTTTTCTTTTTCATTTGTGTATTTTGGCTATCAATTACCACCACTTCTTTCCATTTCTATGTACTTCAACAACGACAACATTTCGCAACATCAACAAATCACGGCTGCTTGTATTTAGTAGGCAAAGTATTCTATTATTACGCGACTAAAAGGGTTGCACTCCCTGCTCACACACCTGTACTGCGGCTACGTGTAAAGTCGGGAAACTGTCGCTGGTGGTGCTGGAAACAGAGAGAAAAGACAAAGCGCGCATACAACCAGTTGGTGCATGACGTTCCTCGTCAAAACACAGTCGATCAAAGAACCACAGCCATTGAAGCTGAAAATTTGCTGCATCATTCTTATTAAATAGATTGCATGACGCTACTATCACAACCCCAGTGGCCATATATTTAGCAATAAATAAAAATGCAAAATTACGCCTGGGGACAAAATAGAATGAAGGGCAAAAGGCTGATCAGAGTGGGATTCGAACCCACGCCCTTTCGGAATGGTGCCTAAAACCACCGCCTTAGACCACTCGGCCATCTGACCATTGGATCAGGAGGATCTTGTCCTCGTGTCGCTTTTCCCCACAAATTCTTATAATCAGTACATGACTTGCTCTGCTGCTTGGGTGGATGCGATTTGATCGTGAGCGCTTGATCGGGTGGTTCTGACCTCTCTGGTTCACATAATGGTAGCGTTTAGTGACAAGGTATGCAATTGTGCATATGTAGACGTGCCGGAAAGATATGCTGATTTTGTTTACACCCCTATGTGGGATCAATATGAGCGGGTCTATTTGTGGAAAGCTGCTCTTTAGCTATATTGAGACTCGAAGTGGCAATGTGTAAGAAAAATGTATGTAAATCGTAGCTCTTGTTAAAGCTGGCTCGTGGCTACTAAAACAGGCAGTAAAAAATAATTAATTTAAATAGTGCTCATACCCTCATCTCCACAAGTCAGCCCTTGGATGGGAAAAGGCAGAAGCCTACTATGGATGAGAGATATTGGAGTTCATGTCATATATCGTTGCTAATTTGGCGCTCTCCTCAATTTGACATGTAAGCCACGCACTCCTTGCCGTTTCTTT